TATATATATATATATATATATATATATATATGATTTATATCTCAATCTATTCATATAATTTTCTCTCGAGAAAATAGGCGCAGGCGATCACCGAATTCTTTTTATATAAAATATTTTTTTTTAATCTTAATTAATTAATTACGCACCTCTGTTCGCACTAAAATTATTCATTATCTATAATTTCTATACTTAACACGATGAACATTCATCGTTTCAAATTGTACGTCGTCTTATAATATATATATATATATTTATTTCAACTATATCGTTCGTCACATTTCTCATTTCTAATTTTTATATTATTCGGACGAAAATCTAATATATCGAATATAAATTGTCAATCGAATATCGATTGCGATCGATTAAAAATGCATCATTAAATATTTCGATAGCCGACGCGAACGTTCGTCTATCTCGCTTCAAATTTAATCCTCCTCATTTGTTTTAATTATGAAACATCCCATCGATGTCTATTTTAATTTCGTTTTCGATTTTAAAGTTCGAAATTAAAATTCGATCGAACTTTGTTTTATTCCTTTGCACAATAAAACAAAAAAAAAAGAAAATTATCTTCTTGAATATAGTTTAATTTTATCAAATTTAAATTTTATCAAATTTAAATGGCGATTCTTAAAATATATACTTTTCGTAAAATTAATTGAAATATCTATTGAGTTATCTATTTTTAAAATAAATAGATATCAAATATATAATTTTAATAAGTCAAAAATTTTTTTGATAATCTGATAATTTGAAAATTAAAAAAAAGAAAAAAAAACCAATGAAAAGAAGTTATACATAAAAAGTTCATAATTTTTCAGTTCACAATTTTTTTAGTTCAGTTTTTATAATTCTCGATCTCGACCACATTACATCTACAAACAGATTAAAAATGTGCAAATCGTCTCGTGACGCGGAAAACTGAATTTCGATAAAGCTTCGGGCGTCAACGAACGAGTTCTCTCGTCCGATTTCATCCGATTTGCGTCCAAATCGATAATCTGAGAATCCCGCGCATTCTTTGAAAACTGAAACTTTCCTCCAAACTTTTCGTAATCAATTCTCATTAAAATTGATTATATATCTCTATAATCGTAAGAATCGAAAATTAACAATAGTAAAATATTTTTCGATGATAAAAATTAAAAAAAAATGAAAAATCCAATTCATTCGTTCGCGATGGAAGAATCATCGAGATTAGCGAATCAAGGCACTCCACGGTTGAATTGCACTCATCGCCGGATTCCTGTCCACGGAAACAGGAAGACAAGGCGGTCCAAGGAATATTTTATATCGCGAATCATATCGTTCTATTCTCGATACCTACTCGATCCGCTACACACGAGGAAGACTTTACAAGGAATGTAAAGGAATTGCACTGTTCCCTTGGAAAATATATAAGTCTGTCCACGACATCTTTTGATCCCATACATATATATATATATCGACCCCGTATAACTCGACTAAAATGAAAAAAATATTATTCGAAAATCGTCGAATTATATATATATGATTCAATGAAAGAAGTCGAGCGAATAACAATTTGAAAATTGTCCAAGGGTCAAAGTAAAACTATATAAGGGTAAAGAACACTCGTAATTCAACGATGAGGAACACGTTCTGAGACCCTGGTTCCGGCCTCCAGTCTTTATAGAATCCTTTGGATCACTACGAGCGATAATATTTAATACGTGTCTTCTTGACTCAAGTCTTCGACTTGGGGGAAGAGAATTTAATATTTATTTTCGCGTCTACGAGTTTTGTAGCTGAAGTAGGGCTTGAAGACGTTGAAGTTCTTTCAGTAATTCGCGATTCTTGTCCTCGAGGGCTGTCAACCTGTCCCTGTACGAGGAATTCTCGTTTGTGAGCATGGTGACACGTCTTTCTAATCCGTCCATGTACTCCTTTTTCTTCCGTCGAGACTCCTGAGCCGATATCTGTAACACGAGGCAGCCGATCATGCGTCGAGTTTCGTTCCTCGTCGGTGTTGATTGCGTTATCGATTATTCGTTAAATTTTTAAATAAGTGTAAAGAGATTCTTAATAAGTAATTTTTAGTACGAGCAATTTGGATATTATCATCATAGCTTTTGTTGGAAATTTAAAAAAAAATGAAAATGTAATTTCTTGAGAATGTAATTTATTTATTTTTAATAAATTATGAATGTTAGTTATTTGATGAAAAAGAAATATATATTTTAATTTCTATTTTTCGTTTTCTCAATTTGTTAATTTGTCCTTTGATATAAAAATATATAAATATCATATCAATTGTGTAAATAAATATATAATAAAAATATGATTAAAAAAAAAATTGCTCCAAGATAATATATAAATAACGATCAATAAAAATTATGTAAGAAAATATACGTTACATGTAAATACATGTATACCAATACTATGTATACGATACTATGTATATCTATCATGAATGATAAAAGAGAAGGATGTTTTTTTGCCCACATTTGGTAATTTTAATGAGCACTCAAAGTGTTAAGTATCTTCTTTTAGACGATGACTCATAAATAGGGAAAACAGAATAGTCAAAAAAATGAATAGCACGTTTGCTTTTACGTAATCATCGTCGTCGACCTTGAAGCATTTATATACAATTTTGAAAGCTTAATTTCTCGTTTTTTTTTTTTTTTTTTTTTTTTTTTTT